GGTTGCTGTTCACACATTACTTAGCCCTGGATGGCACTTCACAGTTGTTAGTGACTATGACACCTGAGTAACTTTGTTCCAAACCCACTTCCATTTGCAGATGGGACCACAGTTCTTGCAGGATAGAGAAGCTGACCTAGTTCCTTTCTAGCAGTCTGGCTCTGGCTCTGGCCTGCGTGTCCCAATGACAGACTGTAAAGGAAGCAGCAACTATGCCTCTTGTTAATCCCCAGAGTCCTCCAAACTTTTTTCCATGTGAGGTCTCCTAAGCATCTCCCTGTTGTCATAGCTAGAAGCGTTTTAGTCCAAGGCTTTCAGATTTATGGGGGCTAGTGCGAAACAGCAGGATTGAAGAGCTGGAGATGCTACTACACTCAGTTTTTCTCCTGTTCAAGCAGCAAGAGGCTGGGAACCAGAATCAGCCCCGTGCAGCATACAAGTAGAACAGGTCTCAGCAGCTGTGTGTTGACACCATCTCCATTTTGCACAATGTGACTGGCTGGCAGCCATGTCTGACTCTTTTCTTGGGAAGCCGAATGGCACAGTGAGTCAGGGCATCAGCCCTTTAACTTCAGCAGGCTTTGAGTTCAGCTTTCTCTTAAACCCACCGGGCTCACTGTCAGTCTTGAAGTCATCCAGGTCCCAATCGGTGCATATTCTCTGCTCAAGAGAGGCCCAGGAATGGAACAGCTGCAGGGAGGCATATGGCTGTGCTCGGGACTGAGGGGCATTGGCAAAGCTGTGTGTGGTGCCCAGCACTGAGGGGTATTGGCAGAGCTGTGTGGGGGAAGCTTGCGCAGCACCTGCCTGGTATAAGTCTTTGTTCCTGGCCCCTCATCTTAGCCACAGATTCTCTCACCATGGTTCAATGTCAAGAAAGATGTAACTAGTGGTAATGTCCCTGATTGTGCATTTGCACCCCCAGCGGGACTTGGAAGCTTTCTTGGAACATGGTATCTGGGTGCCTGCGAACACTGCTGCAGCAAAGCATTGGTGTGTGAACAGTGATCTCCTTGATCTGTACCCCTCCTACCCTGATGAGAGAAGATCAGAGCTGGGACTCAGGAGGGATAGGGCTGGAGAGAGGATATTGAATCGAAATGGTTTGAAGTCGCCTTGGATTTTTCCATAATGTGTAAGGCTATCCTTGATGTTGTGACCAGGTGAACGCCTTTACCCCCTAATCCATGCCATGCACGCCTCCTTGGCTGGGAAGATCACAGGAATGCTGCTGGAGATTGATAACTCGGAGCTGCTGCTTATGCTGGAATCGCCAGAATCCCTCCACTCCAAGGTAGGAAGTAGCCAACGCTCTAAAGAATGAATGTTTCCAATGCAATGCACGTCACAAAGGGAAAGAATCTGGTGCTGCAAATAGTAAAGCTGCTAACAAATGTATGTGTGTAGAGAGGCTGCAGGGATAGGAAGATGGGGCAGGGAGGTATGGGTCAGCAGTATTTTAGGGAGAGAGATGAAAAGTAGATACAGCTCCAGATAAATCAGCAGCTCAAGTGACAGTGCCACCCTTTCCCCTCACTCCCCAGAACTGTGGGAGGAGAAGAGGCCAGGCTAGAATGCAGCAGCTCTCCGGAAGCTAGGAGACCAATTTTGAAATCCATTTGGAGATGGCCAGGAAGCCAGTGGGTGTGGGAGTTGAGGCAGGGAATGTCCGAGTTTTCTGGGTCAAGACAGTAAAGATTGCAGCATTCTGAATGCCCTGGAAGTTTAGAGAGCAGAGTTCTAGAAACATTGGGAAGATATTGCAGAAGTAGAGGCAGAAATAAGGATTTCAGCAGAAGCAGAATCAAGGATTCGTTCTTTCAGTGTGTCTCTACAGGAGCATTTTGTACCTCTCATTAACTGATTGCCAGTTAGCTCTAGGAACTTAGCACATCAAGGCTAGCCTGGACACGCTCCATGTTTGTTCCTGGCTACAAATGTTTGGAACCCTCTGAGTAATGGCCACGCTGGCCTTTACAAAGCTGTGAAGTTTGGCAATCAATTAACTGAAGGACTTTTTTAAAAAAATCCCACTTGTTAGAGACAAAATACTCAGTGATCAAGAATGGATGATAGCTTGGCTGATTCTTTCCCATAAGGAAAGTCCAGGATTCTTAGGTCTTCTTGAGAACAGTCAATGTGCATGTAGGAGAGATGAGGACTCGTAAAGTCAGATTGGAATACTGGCTGGGTGTAACCAGAAGCTGGGAGAGTTGAGACCAGAGGGATTGGAGAGAGTTAAGTGACTTGGAGCAGTACACGATTTGCTTCAAAGAGATGTCCCACAGTGAAGATAGCATAGGGATATCCAGAAGTCAAAGACAGAGACTTGTTGTGTCTGAATGTTGAATAAGACCACCAAACATATTTTTTATGTTTTTAATCCTTCACTAAACCCATGTCAAATTCATCCTGGGCTTGGGGGTCAGGCTCTGTATAGTATACACAGTCCTTAAATGTTTGGGGCATTTTTGAGTGAATCCAGTGCTTTATGGAAATATCAGCACTGACTACAGCCAGATAGAGTATGTGTTGGTGCTGTACTAGGTCCCGCCCCCCGCACAGCTTGGCCATGGCATCTCAGTCCTGCAAACATCCCCTGCTATTCCAGTTTGGAATCTCTTCGATGTGGGTGTGTCCATTCCAAACTGTGCTTTGGCTGTATGATATGGACATGCTTCCACCTGAAACCCCCAATTTCCCAGCACGTGTGATGGAAGCAGCTTCCATTGTATTCATTTTAGTCTGAGTTTAAGTACGACTGTTTTGTTCACATGTAAAACCTTAAAGGAACCACTTAGTTCTCAGTTATTTGGAGGGTGTCTGGAACCTGTTTGTGGACAGTTGGCTGGCAGCTACTTGGCAAAGCACAGAAAGCAAAGGGATAGAACAAATCAGATAGAGAGGGGTATACATGGGCTTGCATATTCCCTGAACAAGTGAAGTAACTCCAGGCCTCCTCTCCTGAAAATGAGACCATTCTTGCTGGTTTAAATCTTGGATTCCAAGGTCCATGATCATAAAGTGAAGGTGACACAAGAGCAGATTTATAGGGTTTTGTTCACACAGAACTGAGTTCCTAGAGATCTTATGATTATATATTGTGCTAAGAAGTGTCAAAAGCCATTCAGTCAGTCTGTAATAATACAAGATCCTGGCGACTTTGCTTGTAGTCATTGGCAACATGCTCTCAGAAGGCAAATTCTGCTGTAAGCTATTTCCTTTAGCACTTTTTAGAAGCTGTAGGTCATCAGGTCTACATGTTTTGCTTTCTCCAGTCCTGTAATATCACTCCCATAAGAGAGAGCCCATAAAGGAACCTGGATAGCATGAAAATGAATCTGCAAAATCTGAGACTGCTGCAAACTCCAATCCTGTCTGACACGTTCAGTTTGAGGCCTGGTCTACACTGAAGTTGACGTATCTTAGATGGAATTAAAATCACTTACTTGGCGTCCTCGTGGCGCGGGATCGATGGCCGCGGCTCCCCTGTCGACTTTGCTTCCGCCTCTTGCGCTGCTGGAGTTCAGCAGTCGACGGGAGAGTGAGCGGGGATCAATTTATCGCATCTACACTACACGCGATAAATCGATCCCCGATATATCGATCGCTACCTGCCGATCCAGCGGGTAGTGTAGACGTACCCTGAGAAGTGACCCCTTTATTCTGAATTTTGAGCTGGTAAAATACTGGCCCTGTGTGAAATTTTTCATATTTTTCTTGCATATCTGGTGTATGCTTGGCCACTGGGTCCCATCCAAAACCTCTGTCCTGAATGGATTGGCTGTATTCTGTTGCTGCTGGAGGCAGGATTAATATTTTTCACCTGCCTCCCCTTTTTAAAAGGAACATGGGGTTTATCAGGTAGGATCAGACTGCTGGTTCATCTACTTAGGAAGAGTGTCTCAGTGGCCAATACCAGGCACTTCAGAAGACATCAAAGTGCCCCAACTGCGCAGAGCTGTATGAAAAGGGAGGTGGGTTGTTGTCTGCTGAATAGATCAGCAGGAGCATGTGGGACGCATGTCCTGATAGCTACTGCCAAACTGCCATTGACTGTCCATGTCGTGCTCGAGATAGTTGCGGGACTCCTCTGAGGTTATTACAGAAGGCAGAACTCCACATAGACCTAGGAACTGGCTACAGTAGAATTCACCTAGTGTCTGAGTGAATGTGACTTCTGGGTTTTGAGGCAGTGGGGAATCAGACTTTAAAATAAAAATAATCTAATGTAAATACAATGTTGATGAAACATAGCAGCCCTGGTAACTAATTTGCCTCTTGGAAGGGACAGCTATAATAAGATCAAGTTGGGAGCCTTGAGTATCCTGACTGTTACCTGTGTAGGAAGCTTCCAGGTGTCAGAGCAACTAAACTTCTCTCCACCCTTGTGCTTTGCTTTGTGAGATCGAGGAAGCGGTTGCAGTGCTCCAAGCACACCAGGCTACCGAATCATCGCTTAACAGCAGTGCTGCAACATTCCTCCTATGAGACCCAGGTAGGTGTGGAAGGCTGTGCGGAAGCTGGTCTCGTGGCAGGGTATAATGTGGAGAAGGGTCCCTTTCTGCCTGGAATGTTAGCACCAGAGAAGTCTTGTCAAGATCAGTCAAGTTGGACTTGGGAAAGCAATGGGTGTGTTTTATTTGTCTTGGACCCTTACTTCAAGCTTAATTCCTTTATATGAACCAATGCCTCCTGCTATTTTCCAAAACTTGATGATTGTACCGGAGAAAAATTAATGCTAAGCAGTTAATTTCAATGTAAATCTGGGGAGGCAACTTGGAGGTGAAAAATAAAGCAATCTGGCTTTTCTTGTAGCCCTCATGGAATCTGATGCAATCATTCCTGATGCCTTTACATGGGATCGCAGTATAGCTTAACCCAGTGGTTCTCAAACTTCATTGCTCCGTGACCCACTTCTGACAGAAAAAATTACTACACGACCCCAGGAGGGGGGACTGAAGCCAGTGTCTGCCCGAGTCCCACCACCTCAGGCAGAGGGACAAAGCAACACCCAAGAGCTTCAGCCCCGGAGTCTGTAACTTGAACCCCACCACTCAGGGTTGAAGCCCTTGGGCGGTGGGGCTCAGGCTTCAGCTTTTGCCCCAGCAAGTCGAATGCCACCCTGGTGACCCCATTAAAATGGGGTCTTGGCCCACTTAGGGGTCCTGACCACAGTTTGAGAACCGCTGGCTTAACCTATTATTCTCCTTAGAATCTTAGAGCCTCTAATCTGGATCTATTAGCAGTGATCATGCCCCATCCCAGTACAACTCCAGCAGAAGCGTCCAGCCTCCCTGTTTGGTAACCGAAAACAAATGTGCAGAACTTCTAGGCACCCCTTTGTAAGATAAAGTTTGGTCATGCAGTTTGCTTGCTCTCACTGGTCACTTAATTCAAGTTCAGTATTGGTATGTGAACTCTAGGCTAACTTAGACTGAGCTTTTGTGTCTGACATGTCTAAAGTGTATATTTGTTGTAGAGGAGGGACTGTGAAGAATGCTTGGCTCTGAAGATAAAGCAACTACAACCCTGACATGCATCACCACATATATTGGAAACATTTATTTATTTTTTCTGTGTACAGACAGTGACACTGACTTGCATTCAAAGCCCAGCGTTACTTTTTCTTTGTGCATCAAAAACTTTGCAAAATGATTTTTCCCCATAAATGAACTGCAACTATGTAACACTGTCCATGTGAGCTCTCTTCTGGCAATCCTCACTGCTGACAGCAGGTAGTGAAAATGTTAACAAGGGGGGCACGTGGTAGAATGACAACCTCTCCTTGTGAGTGGCGAGGGAGACACGATTGATTCAGTTGTAGTGTTCCACGAGATAACAAATCATCAGAGCTTGTCATTTTTAGTAAGTTCTATTTGGTTCTGTAATGTTTTATTTGTTCTTGTGGTTGACACCATAAACAGCTGATACATCCACCCTCACTATGTGCTTGTCACTGTCTTTCTTTCAAGAAGAAATTGTTTCTTCTGTACAAATGGCGGTAAAAGTGATTAGACCTAAGGCTGATCTTCAGCAATAAGGAGGGATGGTTGGCTCAGAGGCCTATGTTCCTGAAAACTGACTAGGAGACAGAAAAGGGTAGGACTGAATGGTCAGTTTTCATCCTAGCAAAAGGCTAACAGCAGGCTGCCCCAAGACTCTGTATTAGGTCCAGTGTTTTAATGTATCTTATTAATTATTTGGAAAGCGGGGGGGAGCCATGAAGCAGTAAAATTTGTAGATGACACAGTTGTCTGTTAGTCAAGACTAGGGAGGACTGTGAGGAACTTCCGAGATGTAACCAAGCTAGGTGAATGGGCAAATGAAGCTCTGTGTTGATAAATGCAAAGTGATGTGCCCCGGAGAGGGAAAAAAATAAATCATTGTCTTGCTTGGTTCTTCTAGGCACAGTAGGTAGTGCTGCCTATAATTAAGGTTGCCTGACACATTCCTTCAGTTGCTTGTATCTTTGCCCAAACAGCTATAGTTTGGCAGGTTCCAGGCTGGCGGTCTGCCTCTGCTGAATGCTGTTTGGGTGAGGGGGGAATGTGATCATGTAATTATAGACTAATGAATGCACAATGACATGGGGTGCTAAGGTAAGACTGTACTGTCAACCTTAATTCTGGCATTTCCTAACTTCAGTGCTTGATTCTGCAACCTTAACATTCTTTCTGTGTAATTTATTTCCCATGTAACAGAGATCACTGGTGCAGCCTCATCTGGAATACTGAGTGTAGTACTGGTCACTCCATCTCAAAAAGGATATTGCAGAAATAAAGGGAAATGAGAGAAGGGCCCCAAGAATGACTGGGGGGAGAAACTGGAAAAACATGAGACTGAAAAGAGTGGGATCATTAAACTTAGAAAGGAGATAAGAGGGGATATAAAATATGGAAAAGTGAATGTTAAAGAGATGGCAGAGTGGGAGTTTCTGTTCTCCCTGCCTCTTAACACAGGAACAAGGGGACATTCCGTGAAATCCAACCAAATTGTGCAACTCATTGAGATCAAGAGCTAGTGTGGGGGACTGATTACAGAAGATGTAAGAATGTCACACTAAGCAGATATGAAGTAAAGCATCTAGTGCTGGCCACCCTAGGAGCCACAATACTAGACTAGCTCAGAGCCTAGGTCTATCGAAAGCAACAGAGAGTCCTGTGGCACCTTTAAGACTAACAGATGTATTGGAGCATCAGCTTTCGTGGGTGAATACCCACTTCGGCAGACGCATGTGTCTGATGAAGTGGGTATTCACTCGCGAAGGTTTATGCTCCAATACATCTGTTAGTCTTAAAGGTGCCCCAGGACTCTGTTGCTTTTTACAGATCCAGACTAACATGGCTACCCCTCTACTAGGTCTATCAAGTATGGCAACTCCTGTGAACGGGAGGGATTCCAATAGTAGTGACTGGGTTAGTTTGCTATATTTACATAAAAATCCTTTGGTACAAAAGGTATTAAAGGTTACAAACAAAATAATATCAATTGCTCTGCACACCAGTGAAATGCCATTATCTTGACTAGAAAATATCATGTTCTTCATCCTACCCTCCCTTCTCAATCACAGCTAGTTTTGCTGTTTCAGTTGTTGGCCTCTCTTGGGCAAAGACTCAGTTTGCCTGCAGAAATGTTAGTAATCAATAATGCACCTTTTCACTTATGACACCCTAGTCAGAGCTGGGACTGAACTGGCTGTCAGAAACACTTAACATTAAACTATGTCCCTCAGGGACTTCCTAGTCAGAGATGGCAAAGATGTACAGCTTACGGCATACAACCGAAGGGGGAGAGGAGATGGGGAAAACTGTGTGAGGGAAGCTAAGGTCTATAAGCAGCAATCACACTTGTAAAAGTGAGTGTAACTGCTACCTCCTGGGTAGAGCCACTCCTGAGCTTCAGCAGAAATAGCCTATTCTGTCCTGGGCCAAGACCTAACAGGAGATGATGTCCTTTGGCTACCTTCTATGAAAAGCTTCTACATGAATGTGCTGTGCTCCCTCCTGCTCTGAGCATGTATGTGTTCACAGTTAGTACCTGGAGCTTAGGCTCCATAATAGAAAGCTGTTTGTTTCATTTTTTGATTGCCTGATTCTTCCCATCTAAACATTTCCAGTTTGGGGTAAAGAAAGTGTAGTTCAATGTGATATGAACAGTATGAGTACCAGGCACCTGTACACCAAACAGTAATGGCCTAGGGCCGTGGTTCTCAACCAGCAGTATGCATAGCCCTGGGGTACGCAGAGGTCTTCCAGGGGCTACATCAACTTATCTAGATATTTGCCTAGTTTTACAACAGGCTACATAAAAAGCACTAGTGAAGCCCGTACAAACTAAAATTTCATACAGGTAATGTATGTACTGTTTGTACTGTTCTATATAACTATACACTGAAATGTAAGTACAATATTTATAGTTGTTGATTTATTTTATAATTATATCACAAAGAAAGTAAGCAATTTGTCAGGCATAGTGTACTTATTTATCTGATTTTGTAAGCAAGTAGCTTTTAAGTGAGGTGAAACTTGAGGTATACAAAACAAATCAGACTCCAGAAAGGGGTACACCAGTCTTGAAAGGTTGAGAGCCCCTGGCCTACAGGCAGGATCATGTATGATATGCAACAATGGGACCAAATTTAATAGCACCAACCTCTAAATAGCATGGTAATAACTTACTCAGCCATGTACTACCCTTCATTTCTATCTCCCCAACACCAGCTGTGGCTCAGTGGAAAATACTCCTTGACCATTTATTTTTAAGGATGGATTTTGCTTTTCTCTCCAAGTAGCAAAGTTTCACTGCATCAGCCTCTACTCTTCCAAAGTTGTGCCTGACAGACTCTTTCCCCACCAACATATGCCAAGGAAAGGAGAGTATAGCCAGCCTCAGCAGGTCAGTGCCTTGGGGCCTGTGATGCAGTCCAGCTAACCAGCCTACACTTTGCTTAACTGGCTCCCTCACCACCTGCTGCCTGGCTCTATGGGCCCCTAGAGGGAGAAGGTGCTGTTATCCAATTAGCTCCCTCTGTTGGGAAAGACTGCAGACAAAGAGGCAGCTGCAGGCAGACCCAGCAGCACAGGGAGATACCTAACAGTAGATACTTGTGTCTTCAACAGAATAGCCTGTAGTATAGCTATAGCATAATTTCCATGGCAGCTTGAGTGAGATGAAGGGGGCCTCTTAGACCTAGTGTTTTACTCTTGCTGTAGACATCTTTGCAGCTACAAAGGCAATCAGTGATTTTACAATGAAAGGTGAAGTGTTACAGCACAGCTGTGTGGCTGTGGAGTGAATAGATCCTCAGCTAGACCCAGATAAGGCAGCAGAGGGTCCCAGCCTTCTCCAAAGCTTTTTTACAGCAAGGATGGATGATCTGTGTAAATGCTACACAGTGAGAGCATTTTCCAGTTCCTGAATTCAGCTAAGGTAGAGGTAAATAGAAGCTGAAATACTGATCTGTTGTGAGAGAGCAAGGGCATGCCACACCAACCCTACAAGGGACTAGGGGTGGAAATGAAAATAGCATGTCCTTCAACTTGCATTGAGTGTACTTCAATGTAAGTAATCAATCCCTGCTTGTAGTAAGTGTCCTGGAAACCTCTCCAGTGCAGCTTTGTCAGCACTTCTGTTTTACGCTGTAGCTAAACTGCAAGGCTTCTCTTCTGCCATGCAACAATCTAACATCCTAGGCATACACCAGGATAGAAGTGCAGAAAATAGCTGTGTTTTTATCAGTGCATAAATGAGACTTCTGCAGTGACACTGCATAGCGGATGCTCCTTGACCATAAGGACAAATAAAATAGTATTTTATCATGGTGAACAGTTGAAATAGTCCCTGTCCAAGCAACAATTATGGTAACATAGTACACCCAGACCCTTATGTCAAATACACAATTCTAATAAAAACACACAGCTGTAACATATGCTGGCTTTTAATAAAGTTGCATTGTTCATACAGTAGCTTTGCCAAACAAATCATCCTGTTACCTATTTAGATCTCAGCATTAAAAGATAACTCTTTGCCACCCCTAGATGGGAAGAATCATAGTATAACATGTTCATAAGTCTGTGATGGAGGAAGGTAGTTCTTCACATCAGAGGCCTCATGTGGGATACTATTGTACACCCTCTTCCCTGGACTAGTGGTAATAGCAGCTGGTCATCAAGACACAAACAGAAGCTAAAATGTTAGATAGAAAGAAATTGTGACAATTCAAAGTTGCTAGGACCCAAACTTCAGCAGTGCATGGAAGATAGCCCACAAATACAGAATCAAGGCAGGTTTAAATTAAATATTTGGTGGTTGTTTTTGTGGGGGATAAGAGCTATGTTGAAGCAGCTGCAAGCTTCTGAACAATTACTCTAAACAAAAGCAGCTTTGGGCCAGTAGGCACCAGCTAAGACCGGGAACACCTGAGCCATTTATTCTTGTAGAGGTCTCACTGCACTTTTAAAGGATCTGGAA